CAAGATATGTTATCTACCTTGATGAAGAAAGACAAAAGAAACTTCTTATAGGAAACAATACAATACAAGTATGGGATGAAAAAAAACTTGATTTTATTTGTATCATAAATAAAAACCCGAATGAACCGGAAGAACCGCATGAAAAATTTCAAGTTATAAAAATTAGACATGGTCCAAATAAATTTGATATTATTTTGAAAGAGAGAAATAATGACAAAGATATCCGGGTAAAAATAGAACATGAGGATGATATTATCAACATTGTAAGGAATGCAATCGATGCTCTTAAATATCTAGATACTCAAAGTAAATCCGTTAACCTTGCTGTTGGTGGTAAACGTTCAACATTTAACGATATAGTTGGACAAACACGAAACATTGTTAAAAGATTTATTACTCTATATCCGAATTCCTGGAGACTATTAGATTTTCGTTATAAGTTAATGAAAATATTTATAGAGTTAAAAGATTTTTCGCTAATAACCTATATTTTGTTTAGTAACAAAAATTCATCGGATTATGATCCTGAAAAATGTATCTCACAAATCCTTAATGTGATTACAGCAAATAACGCCGATGAAAGTAATATGAAAACTAAATTAAAAAGCATTATATCGAAACACAGTTCAAAAATTTATGAAAACGCTGAACAAAATCGTCCTCTCCATTCGTGGCTAGTTCCATTAGACAGTCTTATACCTGATTATCAAAAAAATATTAAAAGTAAAGAAGAAAAAAAACCTACTAAAGGTTAGTCATTTAAAATTTAAATGATTTAGTATACAGTAAATTATTATATTTTTTAAATATCCTTTAAATATTCAGAAATCCATATAGATATAACAATGCTTACATATTTTCTGGAATATTATTCTAACAATGCGATGGATAACATTGGATGGATGAGAATTGTGGCTGAAGTCATACCAGTATTGTATGAAATGAAGTATGGCGACAAGAATTATGGTATGTTGTTGTTTTAAATATTTCAGTAATTTCCTTATTTTATCTGTTGAATCAATTAATTTATAATATTAATTTATGACACAGGATGGTATGCTCAAGAATTTTTTTACAAGACTTGTTTCGGTGCAAAAAGTCTAGATTTTTCTTCGTTAAAGTTTCATGAGGTTAAGAAAAGTTCCAAAAATTCTTTAAAAGTTTTTATACCTATTACACAACTCGTTCCTCATGATACCGATTTAGTACTTAAAAATATCAGGTAACATTTTATTGATAATTATATGATTATTTAAAGTCAATAGTAATTTTGATTTAATTTATTATAGTGATGATGAAATTCCTTACATTAGAATGGTACCTTTAGTTGATTTCACAACGAATAAAGATAATCTACCGGCACCAACTCAAATTAAAAAGTATTTAATAAAGTTGTTCTTACCTGGAAAGTATTCATCTATTAAAAATGAGGATTATAGTTATTTTATTAGACTTTTAAAAGTAATAGAAGAGGATGATTCGTTTTATGACAGTCCTTCAATGGAGGCCATAATGAATTGGATGTGGTATTCTTCTAAATATCATTGGCATCACACTTTACATATTTATGTCGTATACCTTTTATCATATTCTATTATTTCCTGGGCATATGTTGCTCATCTCGAGGTTACTGGTTATCAACATATCCCAATGATTATAATTATGATATTATTTTATTATTTCGCATACTATCATTTTGTAATTGAGGTGTTTCAGTTTAGTTTTCATGGGAAGCAATATGCATTAGATTTATTCAATTGGATGGATAATATTGCTATTTTTTTACCTTTTATCCTCTCCAATTATTTTTTAATGGGTTTTTATAGTATGGAGAATGGTTTTAAAAATTCCACAACTACTCAAGTCAGTGTTTTTCTCACTTTTATGAGTATTTTGTTTCTTTGGTACGAGTTGGTATGTACATATGTTCCTTATTTGCGCAAGATGAGAATAATAAATTAAGATTTTATTTTATTTTATTTGTAGCTTTTGTTACTACGCGTTTTTCCAGGTATAGTAGTTCAATATAATTTTGATCATTAAGTAGTTTTCATCATATCTAAATGAATTTTTATTTAGGATTTGCCAATTACATCAATATAATGATAAATATTGTGATCACAATTAGAACATTTTTAATCTTTTTCTTTTTAATTATTATTGGAGTGGTATTTAAAATTTTCATTTTTTTAAAAAAAAATCATTTAATTTGAAATTTACTAAAATATTTTTTTTACATTATCAGGGACATGCGCTGTAAGATCTTTATTCTACGATTCACACTTATTCGAATTATATTTATTAATAGATTTAATAATATTATATAATATAGATTTGTTCTTCTTGGATATCCAGAATACATATCACTAAGTCAAGCACCAGATACTTATGATGTCGTTGATCCTGATTTAAATTCTAATGAATCACTTTATACCATGGTTGGTGAAGTACCAGATAATCCATTTTCCAATCTATTTAGTTCTATAATTGCAGTCTATAATTGGGATTCAATTCCGTTGGATACTTGGGATTTTTGGCCTCTTGTTATTCTTAATGTTATTGGTGGTTTTCTTTTTGTCATTATATTGGATAATATAATTATTTCATTTATGGGGTTTGTATAACTTAAAAACAACTCTTTATTATTCGTTATCCTTTGTTATATATTTTTTTATTTATTAATTAATTTCCTATAAAATCCTTAATATAAAAGTAACGCTTTTTCAAATGCAGAAAGAGACAGTAGGCGCGGTGTACTTCGACTTCAAAAAGAATTAATTTACGATTATGCTTGTCTAGAAGGTTCTTCTTTAACCTCTAAAACAAATAATTTTGATACTCTATTTAAGGATAAATTAAATGTAAGATATATATGTTTTTTGGATGAACCTGATCTTACAAATACATGGAATGAAAAATCAATAGAATTAGGTTCAAGATGGTTAAATACATATAGTTTTAGTTCTGTTACCGAAAAATCCGAGCCTGACTTAAATATTGATGAAATTGATTTTATTTGGACTTGGAAAGGCAAGAAAGGCAAGAAATAATAATGCATTTTATACTCACTTTTTATAGACAGAAATTTTCTTTATTTGGTTTATTTTATAACTTTAAAATATTCATGTTATTAATTTGCAATAAATAAAATAGATTCTTTTTTGATTTTTATCGAATTCCATGCTATAAAACTAAATTAGAATATTAGGTGTACAAATGCTTGTAAACTATATTTAAGGTCTGGCTATCTGAATTTTAAAAAAGCAATTTAAATTTTTGGATTGCTTCGAAATAACGTTACGAAAAGCATCTATAATATATCCAATAAAATCAAAGTTCATTGTTGGACAATATAAAAGTAAACGTCAAATATTATCATAAATAAAGTGTCTTTTAAGTAAATTTCCTGTTGCTATGTGAATACCTGAATTTTATGTAACCATTTTTGATATGGCAAATGCACGCTTTATTATTGGTTACGGCGCAATAAAAATTATAAAAAATAATTTAATATATGCACAAGAAGTATAAGATATTTAATATTCAAAAGGTGCCAATTAGAGTAGAAACACTATAAAATATCTACTTTTTATACAATACTAATAAGTATCAAAGTTTAAAAAATATTATAATGATTAATTTAATTAGTTAATATCAGGTAATTATAAATAAATGATTTTTATTGGTTTATTAATATAATAATATTGAATTTAGATATCAAATTTTTTGTTTATATATAAAATAAGTAATTTTTAAACCTTAATAACTCTATAAAAGAATAAAAATTAATTTAATAATTTTTGTTAAGTTATAGCTAAAGAAATTTTAATAAAATATATGTGCAAGTAATCTATATAGAAAATTCTAAATAGTATTAACCTGTAAAACATTAAAAAAAAATAGAAAAATATTAATAACATTTGACTTACTAGTCAGAATTGAATGAAACAAATACTATTAGATTCAGCTTATTAAGATGATTCTAATAAATCTAAAATTATTAATATTGGATTACTATATATTGAGATAACTCAAATAATATAATTCTCTTAATAAATTATCTGTAGATTATATGATTGGTTATGATTATTATACAAAATTAGATAAACATATTTTATTTATTTATATTATTTATTATATATTTTATTTAACTATATACAGATTAAAATTTAAAATTTTAGCAACTCTTCTGTAGAGCACATTAATACAACCACTGCTTTTAGAATAATGAAGTTCTCCACTTATAGTAGGCCATTTTTAGAAGAGAATGTAGTAAGTGGACGGGCGGACAAGTCCATTTACATGGAAGACCAATATTATGATGGCCAGACTCAACATACAGGACAGGCTTTGGACTCTTGCATAACCGTAAAAACTGAGTATACGGTGAGTAATTCTACAGAAGTTAATCCTCTTCCTTCAGTTACCAATACTTCATCCCACACTGAAGAAATTACTTCTTTAACATCTTCCTTCAAAACCACAATTTGCCTCAAATAAATAAAAATATAACTATAGGATTCTTTCTAAAACATCTTCAAAACCTATCATTCTCACACCTACTCAAAATCTCAATTAACAAACAAAAAACAGAAACTCATATTTATACT